CTCGAGCTAAAGATTTGCAAAATATCTGCGTATTCAGCGTATTCGCATCAAGATCCTGTCAAGATTTAATACATTTTACATTTTAGCTTACTCCTATATAAATTGCATTATTTACAAGATAACTGAGCGTGTTTCTTGTGGCGCAGTGGTTTAGGCGCCCGCTTGCGAGGCACGGCCCTATAATCTATGGCACGGCTCCCGGGTTCGAGTCCCGTATTAAGCAACAGTTTTATTTTCAAGTTAAAAAATTTTCCACGCAATTTCGAGTTTCTCCCAAACTTTCACAAGTGTTTCTATAAACTCTATAGAAACACGGAAAAATGTTTTCTATTTCCTTTATTAAATAGCCTTTTAAAAACAATAGAAAAGATAAATTTATTGATTTTAATTGCTTTCATTCAGATATTAATTCCACCCTAATATACGTTCGTGTAAAGAATGATTATAAAAGCATAGCGAAGTATAAAACAAGTACATCGCTGTCAAAATAACAGACAGCACTTAACAGGCTTACTTTACAAAGTATACAATTCACTCAACAACCTACATGCTTGCATGCGAAGAAAACACTGTTTTAAATAGTTAGTGAACGTTTAAACATGATTAAAAACTATTGTAAACACGATTAAAAACGTCGCGAGGAAATATTTTTTTTAAAAAGACAAAGTAAAATTAAAATATCTTACCTTGGTAAACAGTCAAACAGATACAACGTGTGCTACTATACTTTGTGCTTTAGGTCTTCGCTTTCTAAGTTAGCTAAGTGTTGCCTTTTTTTGTAACGGTTCTTCGGCGTTTTGGGACGTTTTTCAAGTTTTTTCAAAATTAAATATTGTTTGTATTTTGTCTTTTAAACTCCCGCGCAATCCATGCAACACGCGTGAAAATTCCCCGTATTTCTATCGAGTTATACTACTAAATTGTAAATTTCGACATACTAAAACGCTAGCGCTGCTTTCTGACCATCAGAATTCTGTCAAGTCTTCCTCAAAATCCAGGAAATAGCATTTCAAGACTCTAAATTTAAAAATTTCCCCGGGCCTTTGGCCCTCGCTTCCACTACATAACTTCTATCGCATTCCTAATTTCGTTTAAAAATATTTAAAGTTATCTAACTTTCGTTTAGGGCAGAAACACGTATTTCAATTTGCTCGATCAAATAATACGTCACACTTCATTGAATCCCGGGTAAGCTGGACCATATAAACAGCCTCTTATAATCAAATTTCTCATGAGGGCGAAACATAAATTTTTTATCATCGCTTCTAAATCATCACCCATGTTTATATATTTTAAATGCCAATGTATAATAAAATACGTATACTTTCAAACGACAAACCTCGCATCAGACTTTTAGTTCCACAAGCGAAACTTTCAGTATACATAGATTATGGCCATAGGCAGTTTTGAGAGCAAAACTTTTTGCCACGTTTGGAAGCTTTCAAAATGGTTGTAAAACTTTTAAAATGGATAAGAATTTACTATTTTCGACCCTCGACTTTCGACCCTCGCTTTTTGACCCTCGACCTCGACGTACAAAATCCTAAATTCTAGATAAGAAAAAAATACTTATTTCAAGCAATATATTGCTTAATTAAAATAAGAATTCAGTGCACTTTTTCTTGCGGGCAAGAATAATACTTACTTAAAACAAGAGTGAACCTACTTACCAAGAGCCATCTCAGGTAATCACATTTCTTGAAACAAGAAATCTAGTAAGTTTTTTCTTAACAAGTAAAACGATTTTCTTAAAATAAGAAAAAGATTTCTTAATTAAAGGAAATTTTGAACGGTTGGAAGGAAATTATGTTTTTTGAAAATGAAATCACTGGACCTGCCATGCATGATGGCAGCCATGACAAGATCTACCGAGGTTTTTAAATGTTCTATATGTAAAACAGTTCAGTCATTGATATTGAGAAACTTGCTAAACCTAATCAACACTGTTCACTGCAATGAACCAAACTTCAGTCTCATTTGTGGAGTTGGAGGTTGCCCTGCAACTTTTACCAAGTATAACTCATTTTATAAACATGTCCTCAAAAAACATCGACAACCCTACGCGGATAGAAATCGCTACGAGCCGCGAGCCAAGAGAACACGTGGAGAACACATCGATAACGAAAACGGCCAGGATAATACGTTAATTTTCGAAGAGGAAAATAACGCTGTTATGCATGACCCTCACAGACACAGTTCATCTGACGAATCTGACAATGACAACGAACAGCCGCTACAAATGCAGGTATGAAGTGTTTTCCTGATTTAATTCCTTTGTATAACAATTCAAAGTGCGTTGAGAAGTATAGCATTTAGAAACCAAAGGAGAGTTGAGTTACATACTTACAATGCGTAGCAATGCCGTCTACAAAAATCTTCATTTACAGCATTTCTATGATGATATTAAATATGCAGTTACTGTAGAAAATATACCATTCTTGGCTTATAAGTGTTATGGATTTTAAAATATCATAAAACATATTAATAACGTGCAGGGCCATCGCTAGGGGATGTGTGGGGGTGTAACACCGCCCTGAAAATTGTTTGTCGGCAAATGAAGGATTTTGTCGGCAAATAAAGAATTGTAAACAGAAAATTCCGGTAGATTGTAAATTAAATTAAATGAAGGTAAATTAATCGTGGTCTGCAAAAATTCCACCCCCAAAAAATACAAATTGTACATAGCATTGTGCGTTTAAGGTGGGTTTTTTTTGGGGGGGGGGTTGTCACTGAAAATTTTGTCGACGGGGGGACGTCATTCACATTTTTTTGGAAAAATGTTTAACGGGAATTTCGCCAGAAATGTTATACTTCACTCCACTGACCAAGTCTCTTAGCGACGGCCGTGATAGCGTGTGAATTTATGAAGAAGAAGAATTTCAAGAATTTATGTGTGAGGACTGCATGTATTTTGGGTAGCAACAACAGAGAATATGCATGGAAATGTTTTGTTAGTGAATTCAATTTATTTTAACTGTTTTTATATAGGAAAATCAAGATCCTGCATGATCAATGGAGAATGCAACGAAAGCTAGATATTCCAGTCATTTTGTTGACATCCAATGAAGCAATCCTACTTGTAGGAAAAGTGTTGCTATCGTCAGTTGATCGACCAAATTTGAAGGAAGCTTTTCTGGCATTGATTGGCTTGTTTTATCTCTTAGACCTAGATTACCCACCAACCCATGAATTTGGTTTTATTATGTTGCAGTTATTGATTTTCGGCGACGAATCAGTACCCGCTAAAATCTCGAAAATATTTAATACTATGCTGGCAGATTATCAAAATTTTAAACATTCGAATGAGTGATTAATGCATGTATTACAATGACATTATGAAAGACTGTCTTTTGTCCAAGTTTTGTTAGCATAAAAGTATGTAAAAGTAGTTGATAAATATAAATTGTTGGGTTTTGATTATTAATTGAACTACTGTTTGCATTTGAATAACTAGCATTGCTTTGTAATTCCCAACGGAGAGTTAACAAGGCCCATTTGCAATTATCAGAGTTTTGAAAATTCCCTCCTCCCCGCTATACAGGCTAGTAAAAGTTTACTGGTTTCAAGCAATACAGATCACTTTTTTCTAGTAAAAATTTGCTCGTTCTAAGTAGTATTTTATTCTTAAAACAAGCAAATATTTTCTTTTCAATTGAAAAAATTATATTCTTGTTTTAAGTGTTTTTTTTTACTATTACTGTAAGTAAGAATTCTTCTTAAGTAAAAACCCCCTCATGACTATTAGGACTAGTAAGGATTTACTTGAATTAAGTAATATTTCACTTGAAACAAGTAATAAATTTCTTAAAATAAGAATGAAAATTTTGCTGTGTACGACCCTCGACCCTGGACAATTACACAAACTCAAATGATAAGCGTCAATTGCAATTAGGTAATGAGTTCCACAGTTTAGCTCCATCACAACAGAAGCTTTTCTTAAGGTCGAGCAATAAGCGAGATTTAAAAAAAAAGCTTTAAAATGTTTTCCACGTCATTTTAAATTAAAGTTCTTTTAGATAAGGGAATCTAATTTCTATATTCATGCTATTTCCCTTTACATGCAAGGCCGTTCCTAGACGCGATAATGGGGGAGGGCGCGGAGGTATATCCATATATCCATGCATGCTCGCTACCGTAAAAACAATCACTTTCAAAAGAAAATCGTCGGGCAGAACACGAATATATGAATATACACCCTCCCCCAATTATCGCGCTAGGTACGGCCGTTTCGCTTTAATTAAACGACTGAACTTGCCCGGCCTCAATGAACATATGGCCGAAGTTTGACGTTAAACTGAACTGCTTAGAGCACAACATGCTCAAATATAAGTAATTGACTGTTATAGTAAGTATATTGGCCTATAGCCTTGAATTTAGCGAGTGTACAAGTGTTCCTAGTTTATTTTAATCGGCGCGCATGGATCGATCAATTGAAACAAGATTTTGAAGCAGAAATCTTAGTCTTGGAGAGTTTAACAGCGTATTTTTATCGAGAAATAGGAAAACTAGTTTAAAATGATCTACGTCTTATATTTCCTATAAATAACAAGAGAAAACAAGCCAAAATTATTAAGTTTCTACTGTCTATAGTTGAAGCAAGGTGCCCAATTGTCTGAGGATTTTTAAGGTTTTTCTCGTGATTTTCTCGATATTATAGTCAGTATAATTCCGCGGTAACAAAAAGCTCAAAAATAATTTTTACATCAGCTTTTAGAGTTTCTCTTAAAATTCCCTAAACTTCAAGGATATTGTAGGTTTCCCGGATACTGAAAATTAATTTTCAAAAAGTGTGCCAATTTAAAATTTTTTCAAAAATTGCAAAATGGACACACGTTATAAGCATCTTATAAACACGCTTAAAATCTTTATAAGCATCTTATAAACACGCTTAAAAACGAAAGGTGAGGTTTCATGAGACGCCAATTGAGAAAAACGAAGTTTTCGAGAAGCCGTGGCTCACAATTTTTTTTGCTAATTTCCCGAATCTCGGGTATGTGTCGGGTTTTGATCATTTACGGCGTTTAAAATAATATTTCGGAAAACAAACCCCACCACGTTTCAGAGTACACATTAGAGTATCGCTGGAAAAAATAAAAAATTTTATTTGTCCTCATTTGCCATATATTCTCGATTTTGCTGGGTTTTAGTGGAGATTGTCTCTTATAACCTACAGCTGTCATTGCATCTCACGACTCTAATTCTCGTTTGACCGTGGCGTTACGCATTTTTCACAATCTTCATTCTTACCAAAATATCCTCGTAGTAAACCCAAGGCCCATTCTTCATTCTTGTCATGTTTATTTTCACTGAGCTGTTACTCAACTGGCAGTTTACAGTGTAGATACTACTTGGTCTTACTCTGAAGTTATAACCATAGCAATTGTCTTCTTCTGTGCAGAGAATGAAGCATTCTCCCAGACGATGAATATTGTGACTTGACATCAGGTTAGATGAACGTAGTGCTTGGTTTCCTGTGAAAAAATACAAGTTGCCTTAAAATTGCTATTCAAAACATACGCCTTTAGAGAGTACCGTTTAGAATTGATTGAGCCATCTATATTATCTAGTTTATCTATTAGTATGTACAAAATTAAAACTGGTGAATTTAAAACAGACAGAAATAAAATTAATACAACGCAAATTTAAATAGAAATAAAGTACTGAAAAAACGGGACAATTAGATTTCACTTGTATTAAATATGTGTTCTACTCTGAGGTGGAAGGAAAATTTTAAAAACGGACGTGCGGGCGTAACCAGATTTCTAGCTACTCATGTACATGCCTTCGGTTTTCAAAAAGAGGAAAAAATACTAAACCTAAATAGATAACCTACATTCGATGTAACGTATAGCCAATTCTGAGTGAGGTATAACTAGAAATACATGCATTACGACCTACACCCTCTGACTTACATCTCGCAAATTTAACTCAGAGCTAATTAAGGGAGCGAACTGAAGTCGAATCTATCAGGCAAATACGACAAATACTTACCCACGCTAACGTTTTTGAAATTTCTCAACGTGCATGGCTTTCCATCTTCGGAACAAGCTTTTTGTGCATCGATCATTGGCAGAATCACCAGGGACAACCAGATCAAAGTTAACATTCTCAGATACTAGTTGATGATTGCCAAGCATAATTCCCTAAATCTTGTGTTAACTGAGTGAGATTGCATTATGTTGTACTGTTTTTATACTCTCGGTGTATGAAATCGTGACTCAATGTGTTATTTTTAATTAAAATATTCATAAAAGCCTCTCGTCTCAATCATCGGTTTAATAATGCAGCTATATTTGCTTTGTATAATTTTGTATACTAGCCTACGTGCATGAAAAATAATTTGATAAACTTTAAACTTTATACGATATGTGTAATATTGTGTTTTGTAATTTAATAAAGTAGATATAAATAGTTATGTGGGATGTTGGCTACAATTCGATTATTCGGCCAAGGATAAATTGCTGGAACAAATATATGCAGTTTTCTGTCCATAATTTGATTCGCCTCAGTCGAATGGGAGAAGAGCCGCGAGCCAATTACGGCGCGGAGCTCCGTGCCTGGTGCAAGCCCGGTGCGAGGGTACTAATTTCGCTAGGCTATTTACACCCGAGGAAAGGAATTAAAGGATTAGCCAAGTTTAAAGTTCATCGACAATCACGGGCGCATGGGTGTGGTTCACTGAATTCTATAAAGTAAAAATAGTCCAAAGTCTTTCTAAAAGAAAGGAGAAAAGATGCCGACGTTAATGAAGGTAAGTTTGTTTTTAATATTGATGTATTGTTTGCTTTATAATCGCTTTAAAAACTAATGGTTGCGTATAATGAAAAAAGACGGCATATAATTTCATTGCATAATTATTGATTACCCCTTTGACTTTGTATTTATTATATTAAATTTTCAAATAATGAGGAAATTTTAAGTTTATCGATAAAAGACAGTTTAGTTTTAAGCCGGACATTTCAAAACGTTTTGCGAAGCGTTTGTTGTTGAATTTTACCTTAAATTTAAGATCATACCTAACAGTAACATACCTATGTTTGGGAAATTGACAGCGAAACAACAAATATTTCTTGCAGATATAATTCATTTTTGCAAGATTTTGTTAATTTCAAAAGCTTTTTTGAGAAAAAAAAGCCGAAATGCTTGCACGCGAGCAAAGACGCCGACGTTAATTGTTTGCTTTTAATTATAATTGCTTTATTAAAAACTGATCGTTGCGTATAATTAAGGACAGCATATCACTGAATTAGAGTGTATATTTATTGATTACCCTTTTTCGTTATATTAAAATTTTTAAATGAAGAGGAAAGCATAGCCATAGGAAGTTTAGTTTTAAGAGCATTTCAAAACGTTTTTCGAAGCGTTTCTGGTTGAATTTTACATAAATTCAAGGTTATATTACGTACGTATAATAACGTATAATAACGCACCTAACATATATTTGTTTGCATGGGAAATTGATAAGTTTGTAATTCATGGACATGGTGATATTTTGGGGGTATTTTTCAATTTTAAAAATACTCTTAATAAAATTACCGTGTTACTATGACAACTACTAAATACTTCATGTTCGTGCACGTGTTTACTTTTGTAAATATTTTTCAACATGGCAACGGATTAAGCACTAGAAAGTTATATCATGCAGTTCCAAACTCTTTTCATATTGATCCAGTGTTATTACAGCAGGAGACCTGAATTGATCTACCTATAATTATCATACTGGATAACCTTGTTTCTAAACTACTCTCCTGCAAGGGTGATCCGATTGATCCAGTGTTAACTACAGTACATGCAGGGGCTGGTTGTATCAAGCCCGTTTAGCTTAAACGGTGGATAAGTCAAAATTAAATAACACTCTTATATCTCCCGTGAATCAGTTAATTATTGACAATTATTGAATGAGGTTGAGCAGGATATGAAGAATTATCAAGTCCGAAGTTTGCCGTTATCAACCGAAGCCGAAGGCTGAGGTTGATAACGGCAAACTGAGGGCTTGATAATTCTTCATATTGTGCGAAAACCGAATTCAATAATTGTTTTAGTATTTATTTAAAAAATTCAAAACAGACATTTGTATTTTATTTGTATTAAGAAAAAAACAATTCCTTAGTCCTTCGGCAGCCGTAGTCGCATCATATCAATGTCGTCAGCGAGTCAATATGATTCTCGTCGTCATAGTCATATGGCGCAAACGCGTCCAAATTTTTTTCATATTGACTCTTTGACTTTGACGTCATTTTGCTAATATGAATGTGAAAAATCCGATTTGGTTAGCCATTGAGTTGATATGACAATTTCACAGTTGGCTGTTAGCCAATCAGAAACCAAGAATTTTTTAAATAAATAATAAACTTAAATATTGTGCACTGAATATGTAGTTATAAACAATATCGTTCTCTTACTAGGTTCAGAACTTTTAGTTTGGTTGTTGAATGAATCGAATCTATAGACTTGCTTTCTATTTTGAGCTTAACCACCGTTTAAGCTAAACGGGCTTGATACAACTGGCCCCAGGACTGGAGAACCAAAACTGTATAAACCAACGTTACTTTATTTATACAGGCTAGGTCTTTCAATTCTAAATTTTATACAGTGTTAGTAGAGGAGGAAAGCTGAACTTATACACCAAGTTTAGTTTATGCCGAATATAGTTTTGTAGTTTTGTAAAATATAAGTTCATCCCATATTTGTCCAGTATTAAAGAGAGAAGAATATATCCGGAGTAAATGCAAGAATTCTTTTCACAATCAGCTCAGGCCAAATAGTAAATTTTTGTTTTTATATTTTAAATAATTTTGAAAGTTTTGAAAATGATATAAAAATTTTTAAGAACAACAAGTGTGAAAGCCGAAAAGTAAAATATTAATACCGAGGCATTTTTATCCAATATTTGCTAATGAAAGCCATCATTCGATAATGTTTACAAAAGCTAAACTAAACTAACTATATTTATGCTGAATAGTTCTGTTAGTTCTAAACTGTTCTTCCTATATAGAGATCCATGAGTAAGGAGAATCTTTTATTGATTCAATCGGAAAAATCTAAACAAGCCAACTTTTCTTAAACTGGATATAGCTCTATCAGTTCCAAGCTGCTCTGACTCTCCATATATAGCGGTCCAATAAGGGTTAGGGTATCTTTTATTGTATCCCGTGTTACTACTTACTACACGAAGAAATATGAACAATATAATTAAATTTACGTAAAATTCTTTGGCAGCAGGTGGCGGTAGTTTTATACGTCCTTGGTTGCGTAAACATTTCAAAAATGGCAAGTGCGTGAAAGGGCGCAGAAAAGCAGAGACTGTATAGGGTGTTCAAACATTACTGAGTCTGACGTATTTTTCATATCCAATTGTTGCTCATGAAAGTCATCATAAGCTAAAACAGTCACAAATTAAACCAACATATTAGTTGTTCTACAAGAATCTGTAGGTCCCAAGTCACATTCGAGAATATCCGTTATATTAATAAATGGTGAAATTTAACATTTTTTATTTCATTATTATGCAATTTTATCTTTCTTCGCATGTGAAATATCAAATCTAAAATTTAAACTGATAGCAAGAATTAGCCATTATTGATTTAGTGTTGCTACACCTAAACTAACTTTGTTGTATACTGGATGGATAGTTCTATCAGTTCTAATAAATACAAGTAAAACTTCGACGTTTCGAGAGAGGATCCTTCCCGGCGAAATGACCTTAAGACCTTGTAAGGTCCTTTCCCGACGAAGGGCCGGCGCCCGAAACGTGGACGTTTTACTTGTATTTTTCATGTAGTTGAACCTTATCAACCCGACGTTTTCTATCATTTCTATACTGTTCTTCCTAGACGTCCAGTAAGGATCACCTCTTATTGCTCCAGTGTTACTAGGAGTCTAGGAAACCTATACTAAACTAACTCTATTTTGCTGAATAGTTATATTACATTTCTAATGTTCTTCCTATAATTATAGAGGTCCAGAAAGGCGCATCTATCATTGATTCAGTCGGGAAAATCTAAACACGCTAACTATATTTATACTGGGGATAGCTCTACCAGTTCCAAACTGCATGCTCTCCCTATATATATAGACGTCCAGTAAGGAAATTTGTTATTGATCCATGCAATGTTACCACACGAGGAAACCTAAATTATAAACCAAGTTCATTGATGCTGGATAGTGCTCTCTTTTCTAAACTGTGTTTTCCTTAAACACATCCCATATTTGTCCGGTATCAAAGAAGGAAGAATCCGGAGCAAATGGGAAAATTATTTTCGCAATCAGCTCAGCCGGAATAGTAATTTTTGAATGGAGATGCCGCCGTTACTGAAGCTCTATGGAGAGCAGTTTGGAAATGATAAAGTTATAGCTATGTCCAGTATAACTAAAGTTAGCTTTGTTTAGATTTTTCCTACTGAATCAATGAGAGACGAATCTATTACTGGACCTCTATATACGAAGAACACTGCAGAACTGATAGAACTATATGATTCCAGTGTAAATACAATCAGTTTAGTTCAGGTTTTCCATCTGTAGCAACATTTAATGATCAATAACGGATGATCAAACTGCCATTTTAATTTTAGATTTTTGTATATGCGAGCTATAATTTTTGTATATGCGAGCTATAATTATATATAATTGCCATTTCTTAATTAAAGGGATATTCTCGAATGTGACTTGGGGCCTATACAGACTCTTGTAGAAGAAATTATATGTCAGTTTAAATTGCGAATGTTTTAGCTTTGCAAGCATTATCGAATGTCGGCTTTCATGAGCAGATAATGGATAAAATGCCTTAGTAATGTTTGAACACTTTACTTTCATCATGCACTTGTCGTTTTTAACATGTTTACGCAATCTACAACACGTATATAAGATTACACCTGCTGCCAAAGAATTTTACATCAATTTATATTCTTTATAAAATACTTTAAAATATAAGGGAACCAAGGGAACCAACTAAACTAAATTAACTATATAGTTATACTGGCTAGCTTGGACTATCTCTATATGCTTCAATCAATTCTAAACTGTTCTCCTAAGAGGTCCAATAAGAATAGTCTATTATTGATCCAGTATTGCAGGAAAAACTCGTAGAGAAAGCCTGTGATATTTATAGGAAAGTCCAACTGGAATGCCTCCTCCAGTAAAAACATTGCAATTGCTAAAATGAACGTTTTTAGATAAAATGAATTATAGTTTACAGTTCTAATAATAATAATAATAATAATAATAATAATAATAATAATAATAATAATAATAATAATAATAATAATAATAATAATAGTTCAGTAAATTCACAGCTGTCACTGCTCAAATATTTACGATAACATTTTAAGTCGCTGCATGGGCAAAAGTAATAGGTTGACATGAAATATCAAACATAGTCATCACATGTAATCCTTGCATGCAGTCAGGGGCGTAACTTGGGTCTCAAGATTGGGGGAGGACTCATTTTGGCCGACAAAAGGGCGTGGTCAAAATGCCACGATTTGACTACGAGTACGAGTACGAGATTTGATCGCGTGCTACGAAATTACCGTAGTCGTTTTCGTTTCCATTTAAATGTTGCTTTTATAGCAGTAAACCAACAATGAGAGAAAAGTTTCGTAAACTAAATCTCCTGCAGACTATAAAATCCCCTAGAAAGCGTGTAAATAAATCATAACATTAAAAACAGGCCAGATATTTAGTACTAATATATTACTTGCGCCGGATAAACGCTATATAAATGCTACAAATTATTTTTGGAAAACAAAAAAAAGCCAACTTTCTTTTTTTTTTGAAAAGTCGTCGTAAGGACTACGAGATTTCTCCACAATTTCGTCCTCAGATGGGCGACGGCTACGACTTTTTTGCCTCAGTACGAGATGGCGTAAGCATACAGCATGCGTTTCGCTTGACGAATCTCGTACTCCTACTCGTACTCGTAGTCAAATCTAAAGCTCCCTAATTAGTGTTTAGGTTGTCACGTTCATTATTCCGCTTCAGCGAAGTTGCTCCTTGTCACTTCCATGATTCTGAGTTTTTGACAACCTTCGGAACAATTGAGACCACGTTCGCAATACAGATTTCAGTAATGTTGATCTTGCGCAGACCAGGCGCGGACATATCGATTTTGACTGGGGGAGGGGGTGTAATCACGAAATTAGACCGACCCACCACTGAAATATGAATCCAGACCGATTCTTGGTGGGTTGGTGCGTTGCAATAAAATTGAGTACAAAGCATGGGGATTGATGTCATTTATTAGGAATTTCGCAAGAATATGTACATATGTATGTGAAGCATCATACTTTTATTAAGTGTCCACGCTTAGTCAGTTTTGACCACGGATTAGCGATTTTGTCAAAATCGATCGTGTCTGTTAGATTGCGTTCACACGCAAGAGTCAAGAGTTCGCCGAGGCGTTCCTGGTTCATTACTGAACGCATAACAGTTTTCACTAATTTCAGCTTTGAAAAGTTGCGCTCGGCAGATGCGGATGTTACAGGAACTGTCAGGCGCGTAACTTAGATTTTTGATTGACCAAGACACTTTTGGGGGATCTGGGAGCATGATGCCCCGAAAATTTTTGATTTTCTAAGGCTTAGAAACGCTATCTCCCCACCGGGCACACGACGTTGTTTCAACGTTGAAATTTGGTAGAAAAAGGTTGTGACGTCGACAACGTAATATCTACGTTGCTCTGACGTTGTTTTACAAACATTGGTTCAACAGCAGCCAAGTACAGACGTTGAATTAACGTTCATTCATGGTTAAATGTACGACGTCGATTTGTGAACCAATCTCAACGTTGTTTTAACGTGGATTCAACGTTGTATTATGGTTGACGAGATTGGCAACCGGCTAATTTCAACGTTGTTTCAACGTCGAAACAGTAACGTCGATCTAATTTGCATAGTCAACCCTTTTTCAACGTCTATCGTATCCAACGTCTGGAAGGTCATTTCCAACGTTGATTCAACGTTGGATAAACGTCATTTTGCCCGCTGGGCCTGTATTCTGTGGGCAAGTTCAAACGAAAAATCAATTTCATAAGCTGTGACACAATGTGTATAATTTTATACTGTAGTTTTCCCGCAATCCTGGAGCTGATACAAATATTCTTTGTGGAACATGATCAGGTGCATAATAAAAAAGTGTTTGTGCGCAATTATGGTATAATATTTAGGTCGCTGGCCCGCACTTTTGTTATTGGGGTGCTTGTGCACCAACACAGTCTTCCACTTCTTACGTGACTGTGGGGCAAAAAGAATGCTTCTTTACATGGAGAGAACTACAGTCTGTCATTGAACTTAAGTTTTCCTATTTTAAACTTTTTCACAAATATTCTTACAGAGTCACCGACTCGATTGACTCATACCTAGGGCGCTTTCCATTTAATGGCCTGACCGGCAGGCCCGAATTCTTTTCTCTGTGTCAATGGAAAGAATTGGTCTATGTTTCTCAAATATCTAGCGAGAAGGTACATCATTCTAATGTTATACAAATTTTCCGGTCAGATAGGTCCAAAGCTCAAATGTTTTGTGTTTCATGCAACAATTTGACCAGTCTGGCCGTGTTAATTGAAAGCACCCCTAGTTACCGCGGACCTGACTTCAAGCAATAATTGGAAACAATGTTTCGCTCCATGCAGGATTTCAGATAAACGAGGGCGTCGTTCACTGATCGAAAGTCTTGATTGCACCATATAAACTCTTTGGTACATGTGAACATTTGTAAACATACTTCCTAATAACTTGGCTAAAAATTCGTTTTTGCACTTTGCATGTTAAAAATATAGTTTAAGGGCCGGAGAAATATTGTAACAAATGTAAAGCTATTTTGATCAAGATTCAACGCGTTTCGGAGTCTGATTTGGGGGGTTTGAAATTTTCGCTAAAAAAGAATATCATCACGGGAAACACGTAATCGTGACATATAAATATAAGTAAATGGAAACGTTATCCCTTGGTGCGGGTTAACGTTTTGACTAATAATTCGTTCATAAACTTGCAAAATAAGTACGTAGAAAATTATTTCTGAGCTGCTTGATTCCGTTTGAGCAACTTTTCAACTCAATAGTTAGAGTCTGATACGTTTCCGAGTTTCGAAAATATTTAGTTTGCTTCGCAAAGTACCGCGTGTAAACAAACGCATAATTTTGAGACCGACTGCACTTCGTTTGAGACCGACTGGATCATTTGTCTGGGGGTGAACCACCACCACTTCCCCCCCCCCCCGAACACACCCACACATTTACGCCCCTGGCGCAGACGTTTTTCCGCGGTGTTGGTGATCAGTGATTATCCTCTATTAAAGTATTAGAGCAATAAAATGTAAAATCAAAGGTCAAATGTCAATAACGTATATACTATAAGCTATAGTTTATGCAAATTGAGCATAATATCACATGTACAGTTTTAAAAGACAACCAATGAACCACATGCAAGTCAAAGTAGAGCTTTTGGTTAATGAGATGTTCTTTGTACAGGTTAATCAGATGTTCTTTGTCGCATTTGAGCAAAATTTTACGCTCGATTGACATTGATAGCAATGATTCAAGTCTCTCCTGAACCATGGATTAGCGAATGCGAGTCTTCACACAACGCTCTGCCGTCGACGAACTAACTGGGATGGCCACAACAATAGCATAAACGCGACAGAGAGTTGGATACGCATCAACCAAACTATAATCTGGGTTACGCATGAGTGATAGAGCTTCAGAGAAAGATGGAACTTTTTTCTTCGTTTGTTTTTCAGCTTTCTTGCTACCGCTGTCACTCTGCTCATTATTTGACGTGCTTGAGATTTCGTCGTCGTCGTCCTCGTCATCATCATCATAACCATCGTTGTCCTCGCCGTCATCGTCATCATAGTCCTCGTCTTCTTCGCTGTCATCATCATCATCATCTTCTTGCTGGCAGACAGTTGAACAGTCGAATTTCTCAAACGAACGAGCAATATTGAACAGTTCGTTAGCACATCTAAACGCATCTATATCGTACTTTCACAAAAAGTGTTAAGGCACGCTTGAAGATCATGTGCGGTTTTGAAATTCTTCAGAAGTTGCGGGAAGCGGACTGGAGCAAACAAGGAAAAGGCTTGGAGCAAGGGTTGGTTTTTCTCAAACCGATTCTTCAATGAATTTAAGATCGTGTCCACAGAAACGTAAAATGTGTTACGTTTCCAGTGATCTTCTGGTGTTTCAGCAGGTTCGTCTTCGGCATTTTCATCATCCATTCGTCTTCGACGTCTGATTATTGGTTGTTGCCAATTGACGCTGGGGGAGTCGTGTTTTTGCTCAACGTAGCTGATAATTCGCTCCGGTTGTTTACGCAATTCATTCAGCTCCTCAATCGGGCTTTCGACCATACCCAGGGCTTTCCCAAAATCAACATCAACGCGTTGTAAATATCGGCTTAGTGGACCAGTGGATGCAAATATTTCTCGAAAGAGGTACGCGGTAGCCAGAAACTGCTTTGTTTGAATCTGCTTCTGCCGACAATAAGCCAATGTTCGTTTTTCGTGGGTTCCATCAATTAAACTGTCCAACGCAACGGTTTCCAGGATACTTAAAATGCAATCATAACGAGAGAGAAGGACCTTTAAACACAACTCGAGTGAATGCCAACGAACAGTATTAAGTCTCTTTAGGGAAAGGACTTTCAGGTTCTCTTCCAGTTGGACAGCTTCGAACAAATCATGGATTCTTTGTGTCTTGCTAAAGAGAACGTACAAGGCTTCGAGGTCATTGAAGAGGCTTATTACTTGAACATCAACACTTGCAGAGTCGGACGTATGTGCATAACAGTGGACAAACGCAACATGCTTTCCAACTTTGTCCTTGATGATCGCTTGCAAGCTGTTGTAGCATCCGCGCATATTCGAAGCACCGTCGTATGTTTGTGCTACGAGTTTACCAAACGACACACCTTTCGAGATAAGTGTTTCTGAGATTAGATTGTATAGTTTGATTGCTTTTGTCCCGGAAGCTCTTTTGCAAGGCAAAAGGTTCTCCTAGCATTTGCCATTACGATTAACGATCCTTGCGCAAATACTAAACTGCTCGTGGTGACTGGCATCCGGTGTGGTGTCGGCTATTAATGCCCATGCTCTGCAATTACCGATTTCTTTGACAATTTGTGAGGCGATTTTTCTTCCAATAATGTTGATCACATTGCTGAGGAAAGTTAGTTTCGAACTCCGTCATTTGGCACCTTTTTTTCCCGCCCTTTCTTCTCGACATAGCTTGTTGATTTCGGATGCAGTTGTTATATCGTAGGTTGACAGGTAATTCAGCGCCTCTAGAAAATTTCCTTTATTTGCTTCTGGGTCATCAATTAGCGACTCTCGATGCCCTCTGAAAGCAAGTCCCTGCTTTCCCAAATGTACAATGCGGTTTGCCACGACTTCTCTCTTCCGATGCAAAATTGCGGTCTTTTCTTGTTGCTTCAAGCATGAATAGATTGATCGTCTTTGCAAAATGACAACTTGAGCAATCTTGGCATTTATATGACTTTCGGACTTTTCGTGCTTTGTGATCGATATTACCTTATTGTTTCTTCCAGTACGAGTACCCAGCATTCGTAAAAGCATTTCCTTGGTTGTGGAGCGTGTTTTCGCATCTTAATTAAACATTCATCTGAAAATAGGAGAAATGGGAGGCAGAATAGACAATCCTTACTTAGCGAGTATGAAAGCCATTTGCGCCTGGTTTGATCTTCGTGAAAGAATACCGCCTGCGAGCAGTACCGGTTACGTTCTCCAATTTTCTTTTTTTTCTGAGATAAAACGGATTCGGGTGGCTGACATGGTTCATTTTTACAAAGCTTTTCTTTATCCTCTATTCCGAACTTCGTGCTAACAAGTAACGCGGGATCATTCGTTTCATTCCCTCCATCATTTACAAAAGCTGGATTTCTCCGGAGCATGCACTGTTCAATGATGATTGTGTCTTCTTCCCCCCGATTCGGTATTGATGTTTTCAAAGCTTCGTTAAGAACTGGATGTCCGGTTTCAAAGTCAGTAATTCTATCGCGAAATCTGCTATCATTAAATTCGGCAGATGAATCACGATCGAACTCAGATGCAGTTGCTACACCAGTCATTGCAGATTCTTGCACGTCCATCTCGTCGTCCCGAACGTTCCCTTTACTAACTTCGCGCCCGCTATCAAACTCTGGAAGACTTACAGGATCTTGAACCATTTCGACCTCATCTTCTACGTCGTTTTTGTCATCCACATCACATGGCTTGTCTGGGGTTGAATTTTCTACACCATCTTTTACATCTTTGCTTTCCTTCTTTTTGTCTCGTCCATCATTTAGAGCATCTTGGTCATTACTGGAAGCATCGTCTCCATGTGATGACTTGCTTGATTTTGTGAAATAGCTTTTCATGAACGATCCAAGTTTTTCGTTTTCTGCCCTCCTAGCTTTCCTTGCCTTTTTGTTCTCTGCGCCTGATTTTTTTCGTTTTTGGCTTTTGTTGATGGTTTCCATTCTAACTGTTATAATATAATATCATGCAGGTTGCAATTAATATACGGCACACAATATCAAGATTTTTACTAGTGGTATTCGAAAGTAAAGTGTGCTCAAAATAATTTAATTTAAAGGGAAATGGCAATTTAATTTTTTTTTGTTTTAACACAGATTTCTGATATCATGACTCCTGATGGCTGTTAGCCTGATATTGATTATAAAATAACTTCATTCATATTTTATAACTCATCTTGTTTTGTTATGAACACGGTAACAAGAGGCTTATTGAGGAAATTTAGTTTTCTTAATGTACTTATTTAAACAATATGCACTAGGCACTTCTTGGCAATTTTAGCGCCCCACTGGCATTTGGGGGCCATGCCCCCCCCCCCCAGCCACCACGCCACTGTTTCATTATAATCTACCGTTGAAGACTGTAGACTGACAGTCGAACAGAGGCGTAGCCAGGATTTTTGGTCAGGGGGGGCCAGGAAAAACCCAGGTGGGGCCAAAAAAAATTTCCGGACCACAACATTTTAAATCTCTCCGAACACCCACCCCCCCCGTCGACACCATTTTTGGTAAAAAGATTTTCCGGACATTACAATTGCTTTCGTAGCACTTTTTTCCGATGCTTCACAGCAAAGATTCCGACAACATTGACAATTTTCCGACGGGTCTCAATTTGAAGCTATATAATCAAGGATTCCCTTTTTTATTGCTGCGTAGCGAGCGAGCCTAAAGCGAGCGAGCGAACCAGCATTCTAGGGTTTTGAAGAAAATTTTATTTAGCGCATTGTATTGTGGTCGTGTGCGCTTGCTATGCGCAGAACACAAAATAACGTACGACATACAATATTTGACGCTTATTTGAAAGATATCGTTAATTAGTATTTTTGCACAAGTGAACATAACAAATCCTCAACATGAGCTCCACCTTTGAATTTACTATATGAGTAAATTCTTAGACATTCCGAATTTATCATTATGATAAATTCGCGGCACACTTTGAATTTATCAATAGAGTTAATCATAAAACCACAAGCATTGGACAAGATTTCTTGTTATAAATGTAATGGCACTAAAACGGAGGCTGGTCGCGCGGGGGTGGGGGGTTTTTCAGGTTTTTTAAAAAAATAGTTTTTAAAAAAGTTTTAAAAGAGTTTTAAAAAGCAAAAAAAGTTTAAAAAGTTAGATTTTTAAAAAAGTTAAAAAAATATAAAAAGTTTAAAAAGTTAGAGTTAGGGGTAGGGGTTATAATTAGGGGTTAGGGTTGGGGTTAGTGTTAGGTGCCGCGAATTTATTATTATGATAAATTCAAAGTTTGCCGCGAATTTATCATAATAATAAATTCGGACGTGTTTAAGAATTTATTCATATAGTAAATTCAAAGGTGGAGCTCATGCTGCAAATCCTACAAGGTGATTGGTCAAGTTTGACGTATTAATCTGTTATATTCACCTACAGGTGAATATAACAAAATCAAAATATAAATAAATTTTCAAAATGGCGGTTAGCCGTTTTGTTGAAGTTAGTGATTTATCACTAAATAAGCGAAATTAAAATGAATTCAGACAAGAAAAACACAAAAAGACTTGTGCAAAGATACTAAAACAATTAATCGCCTCAGGCTCGGTGATTATCGGGGAATATTATACCTTAAATTCAAATTGTTCAATGAAAAAACAGCATTTGTACCACGTGATAGTGTGATTTTTTACGGTATTTCACTCTTGATGCCCGCAGCAATCCCTACCTTGCAGGTACCCTTACTAGTACAATACATTTCATCAGGGGGTCCCAAAATGTTGCCAGGGGGGGCGAACTTTTGCCAGGGGGGGGAGAGGGCCCCCCGGCCCCAGCCCTGACTACGCCTCTGCAGTCGAAAGCTTGTAAAAAATAAATATTTTAACCAGAGAACGTCTATACTCAATATGAATAATCTTGGACTCCTAATCTTGACATGAAGGTTTCTCCAGAGTTCACTCGACCCAGTCTTTCGCGCCGATCTATGTATTGTCGAGTTTCGATCTTGTGTCTGTTAAGATGTCGTAAATTCCGGGAGGGGGGACGGACGGGAGAATGCGAGAAAAATATTTAATTGCGTGCACATATTAAATTTGCAAACTTGGGATGTTGTTAATATGGCACCTTAGTCTAGCCTGAAATATAAATAACGTAGCAGCTTCGGCTATATATTTATCTAGTGAGTTCCAAAACAATGATCCGCTGTGTTTAAGAGTGAGTTTTCATGTTCTTGTTCTCACTTTGTTGATATGAACTCTGATGGCATTCCGCGCTGTAAGAGTGAATATCTTTGTTAAGGATGAAGTAATTTCTAAAATGTTGCGGAAAAATTGAGGACTTGTCAAAGCATCTATACATGAAAGAACCAGTTTGAAATTTATTAATGGCATAAACATCAAGTAACTTGATTTTGAAAAAAGTGGTTCAGTTGGATCTCGATATCCTGCATTAGCAATAATACGCACTACACGTTTTTGCAATTTCATGATTTTATCAAGATTATTAGGGTATGTTTTAGCCCAAACTATATTAGAGTATTGTATATATGGTAACACCAAGGAGCAATATAAAGTTCTTCTGGTGGGGCTAGTGATAAAATGCTTTACTTTATTTATGATGCCAATAGATTTTGCCATCTTTAGGGCAACGTGTAAAATATGTGGTTTCCAGTCTAAATGTTCGTTTAAATAAGTTCCAAGAAATTTAGTGGTAGCTAACCTTTTAATTTTTATAGAGTCAATAAACACATTTAAATTGTCTCAACTTGGAATGGGTTTATTTCTTGCACGAAAAATTATATAATTCGTTTTCTTTAAATTGAGCGAATTCAAAGTTTATTTGCTTCAAACCAGTCCGATAGTTTATCAAGTTCACAATTAATTTTATGGATAAGTGTGGCAAAATCTCTGTCGGAATGACATATACTAGTATCATCAGAAAACAGAATAAAATTGAGAAGATTAGAGCAATTGGCAATATCGTTAACGTAAAGAAGAAATAAAAGCGGTCCAAGGATAGAACCTTGGGGAACACCACATGTTACAGTCATTTTTGAGGAGACCGTCTCACTAAAATTCACAGTTTGTTTCCTATCGATCACTTAAATAATCTTAAAACCACATAAGTGGAGTACCTCTGATACCGTAATGATTTAGTTAACTTATAAGAATTTTGTGGTCCACAGTATCAAACGGTTTTGATAAATCAACAAATATGCCTATAGTATATTCACTGTTATCAATCGAATGAGAGAGACTATCGATTAATTCAATTAAAGCCATATAAGCTGAGTAATTCTTTCTGAAACCATACTGATTGCTGGATAGGATATGCATTGTATCCAAATACGTTAATAATCTGTTGTAAATAATTCTTTCCAATATTTTTGAAAATATTGGAAGAATGGAAATTGACCTATAGTTACCAAAATATTTACGGTCATTAGATTTGTAAACAGGGTTTATCATAGCCTCTTTTAATTTGTCAGGCACTATTCATGGTTTATTGAAAATATTTGATAAAATAGGAGCTAATGGTCCCACAAGTTGTTTAATAAAAAATGGCAGTGGCGTAGCCAGCCCGACAATTTGGTCATGCTATGCAAATATCACATCATTATCACTATTCATTTCTTTAGAAATCTATTGTTTTCACGGTCTATAAACACGGAAATATTTGCATAGCATGACCAAATTTTCGGGCTGGCTACGCCACTGAAAAATGGGTCTATCAAATCAATCCCACAGGATTTATTAGGGTTAATTTCTGAGATAAGTTTAGTTATTTCATCTTCATTAGTTTCATACAGTACAAACGAGTGCATGTAAGATCCTTTAAGGTAGTGAGTAAAATTAACAGAAGTATTAGGAATTACTTTTGCTAAATTAGCGCCAATGTTGGCAAAGTATTTGTTGAAAGTATTGGAGATTATCTGAGGGTCAGCAGTCTCAGTATCATTGAAATGGAATGATTCAGGGTAAATAGTTTTAGATTTTGGTTTTCGAATAAGGTCATTAAGGATTCTACAAGTATGTTTCAGATCAGATTTGGCAGATTCAAGTTTCATTGCAAAGTAACGCTTTTTTGCGATTTTGAGAAGATGATTCAATTTGTTCCTATATGATTTAAATTTAAATGGCCTATAGATTATACCAATTACAACCTTATGGTTGTTTATTAAAAATTCAATAAATAATGACTGGCATATGTTATCGTCATTGATACCAAGATAAGTTAATTCAACGAAATCAATGTTGTCCCTAATATAAAGAGCAACGCCTTCGCCCTGTCTGTTAATACGGTTACATGTTATTAATTTATAATTATCAAGCTCACACTGAGCTATGTTACTAGATGTCAGCCAAGTCTCAGAGACACCAATTATCGAAAAAGGAAACTGTAACAGATTAAGGTAATTTGTAAATTTATCACAATTATGCGGAAGGCTACGAGCATTGAAATGAATAAAGGCGGTTTTCCACTAGGCGAAATTTTTCGACTGAATCGAAATTTCTCTTTGTTTCATGAGCTCTCAAGCAGAACTAATTGTAAAAAGACAAAGAGAAATTTCGTTTCGGTCGAAAAATTCCGCCTCGTGGAATCAGGTCTTAAGTGAGAATTGATCGAATTTGTTAGAGTGTTCAGAAACAAAGGTATCCTCAAGAAGGTAATTATTGTTGTTTGAAATACACGAGTTAAAGAAATGCTCATCAGAGTCCAAATTATTGACTCGATCCAATTTATTAAGGTTTCGGAGATTGGATTAAATATTAAGTCTTTAAAGGAATCAATATTAAATGTAAATTCACTATTCGATTCGCGGAGAGCCAACAAGAATTCTTCGTCATTATCAAAGTGGTTGAATGGAAAAATAGAGGAGAGACACTGTGCACAAAGCCAGTCTATTTTAACGGCCGTCTTCGCTGATTTAAAATTCAGGCCAGAACAATTCATATGGAATCATGCTAGACAATGGTTGCATTGTGTCGCGT